TTCACCTCCTGGAACTCATTGTTTCTTTTCTCCTGCATCTTCTGGAGTTCGTCGTCTCTCTTCTTTTGCATCTCTGTTAGCTTTGTCACTGTGAATATTCTAAATTCTATATCTGACATTTCCATATGTTCCATTATACTGTCCTTTTCCCTTGGGGGAGAGATATATTCTCATATTTCTTGTGCCTCTGCGGTGGTTTCTGGTCATCTAACGGATTATGCTTTTCTTCCTAAATTTTTGGAGTTAATTCCAAGTGTTAGAGGTGTGGGGTAGAAGATGACCTGCAATATCTCTGCAGTAATGTTTTCCTGATGCTCACCAAGCAATCTGCACTTTTGTCAGTGGAACTGGATATTACAAAGGCCTCCCAGTTTCTAAAGAACAAATGCACCTGGGCTGAGCTGCAGGGTTGTCAGAATAGTTTTAAAAGCTGTATATAGGGGACCAGCAGTTATCATAATGGCTATGTCGCTGGACTCGCATGTAATCGACAGTGGTTCGGGTCCCAGACCCGGTGGCTTAAACTCACGCCGGGCACATGTGCATGCATGCCCAAGATCCCGAGAGGAGAATGGAGGAGAAGGGATTGCAGCATGGCCATCTCCCCTGGGGGGGTGATTTCTTGCTTTCTGTCTCTCTGTCTCTCTCTGTTTTTCTGGTGAGCGCATGCGCCCTATAGCAAAAGCCTCTCAAAAAAAGAAAAAAGAAAAGAAAAAGAAAGAAAGCTGTATATGCTAGTAGGAATACAGAAATCTTGATTTTTTTCACTAATCAAAGAGTAAGTTGATGCTGAGAGGAAATATTTGGAATCTTAGTTCCTGGGAAGAAATGAATATATCAGCCTTTTAAAAAGAGACAGACATACAAAGCCTACGAGGTGAGAACCCTAGTTCTTCTGTTACAGTACTAGAAAATGTGTGCAGATATGTGTGCATATGTGTGTGCGTTTTGTCTTCCCAACATTTGGACTTGCTTTCTGATGCAGTAATAGAATGTTTAATCCAGGTCACATATTCATTTTACGATATCACACCTGAATAGAATCTTAAGTGCCATCAGTATTATCTTAATCTGGGACCATCATATGGTGTAATGGTTATGTTGCCGGGCTCTCATGTAGTAGTTTGAGTTCCAGACCTGGAAGCTTAAAAAAACACGCTGGGCACGTGTGCATGTGTGTCCAAAATCCCAAAAAGGAGAATGAAGGAGAAGGAATTCCAGCTTGGCCATCCCTCCTGGGGGTGATTTCTTGCTTTCCATCTCTCTCTCTCTGTCTCCAGCAAGTGTATAAGCACCCTACAGCAAAAATCTCTCTAAAAAAATAAATAAATATAACCTTAATCCATAAAATAAATATGATGTTTACTTCTAGAGAAACCTAGTAAAGAATGAAAGAGATGTTTTAGTATCCTTGTTCCAAATTAGAAACAGGAGATTGCTGCCAGAGCTGTGGTCTCAGTCATTTAAACTAGGGTGTTACAGGTCATGTTTGAGGATCACAATATATGTATTCATAGTTTTTTCATGGTTTATAGTTAAGTCATCAGTTCACAGATACATGGCTGGCTTTCAGGCTTGTAGAACAAATGAGATTAAGTGTTATCGAGTTGTCGGAAAAGTCATGGCATATTTTTTCTGTTTTCCTATGCAAAAAATGCACATAACTTTTATGACAACCCAGTAGATAAAATATGTAAAAGAAGTTAGTCTACAGACCCATTATCATGGGCTAAGAATCAGAGTATGCTCCTAAGTAATAACTGACATCTCACAATCTTCCCCAGAACAAACCACACATCACCTAATTAGGTTGTGTTTGATTCTAAACTGTGCTACTTTTAATAATGTGATGAACTTTTGAAGTATCTATAAATTGTCTAAATTTAACTGCCTACTCCTAGGGTAGGTAGACAGATACATGCCAATAGACAAAAGTATATCTGAAAATAACTAAAGTTCAAGGTCAAAACGATTTGTAAATATTCAGTAAAGGAAAGCCTTGGGATGTTGTAGCTAGTATATACTTTCCCATTTCATTTTTCTGTAATAATTAAAATACAATTTTTCACTAAATTGTTATTTAGGTGTGGGAAGAATGCTATTTATAGTTCTACAGATGCATATCTTCTTAGTTTATTGTTCTCTTTTCCTTTTCTTCTTCTATACCCAAGTACAGATTATTCTAAATCATATTTACAGATAATTTCTCCACAAAAGTGGTAGGAGTGGGGAGGAGGTAAACAAATTATTCCTAACCCTTTTCTCATAAAAATAACCTCACCTTCTTACCCTATTTCCTTATATATTTTCTAATATAAGAAGAAAGGTAAATATGAGAAACCTCCAAAAGTATAGTCTGTAAGTCTCTAGAATTCAATAATTTCCATATAGAATAAACCTTTAATAAATTAGTTTTGTATTGTCTTTTTCCTATGCCTTTTGTAGTCTACTTTTATGAAACATGTAAAATATATGAAGATAAATTGATAAAGTAGATCCTGGCTTTAGGTTATTTTATGAGAGGTCTTCAAATGGTTCATAGAAAATGCATACTATGAAAAAAATCATGCATGGTTTCAAACTATTTTGCACCAAAATAAGGTCATACTTTAATTCTGTTTTCCATGAACTTTTTGAAATATCCTATATATACAGATAAATCTGCAGGTGAAGTATGAGAACTCATGTTCAGGAGATGAAAGAGAAAGACTCGCCCATGCCCCATCTGAAGGAGAGAAAATTTCTCAGACCAGGTCCTAGGTCTGCTTGTCTATATACAGTCACCAAAAAAAAAACCTAAAATTCACTAGATTTTCTAAACCAGGTTTTCTACTTTCAGGAGAAACACAGTGGCTGAATTGTTACCACAGGGTTACTCAGGGACACCAGGAAACACTCTTCACAGATGTTCTTTCAAAAGGCAAAGTAATGTGACAGCATCTTTAGGGTGGCATCCAGCCAGGTTCCCCACAAGTTAGCAAGTAAGAGGAGCTGCAGGACCTCAACGGTACTTCATTGCTCTCTTCAGTCTCTTTAGAACATTTCCTGGAGCTGAGGACACTGGAATAAAATAGACCTTCTATTGCCTCATTCCACAATCCATTAAAACCCCAGTCATTAATGTGCTCATAAGATTTGGGGTGGGGGGAAAACAAACAAACAAACATGTTGCTTTTGAGAAACATCAGACTTTAAATTAGAATTTAATGTTACTCCAGGCCAGCCCCATAGCCTAGTAGTTAAGGAAGCTAGATTTCACATGCCCATGGTTCAAGTCCTGGAGCCAACAGTTTGAAAACCATGCTGGGTGGTTGTATGTGCATGGCCAAAATCCCAAAAGGATGGAGAAATGGAGGAGAAGGGATTGTGGTATGACCATGCCCCACTGGGGTTGGGGGATTTCCCTATTTTTTCTCTCTCTATCTCTGTGACACATGCATGCTCTGACAAAGGGGAAAAAAAAGGTCATTTCCATTAAGGGAAAAAATAAATAAAAGGCAATGCAATAATAGGAGCTTAAAAGGAAACTGCATGTTAAGTGGTCCCAGCTCTCAGGAGAGGTTTCTCTAGTTGGTTTAGGGAACTAGACTGCTTTTATGGAGAAATATCTGCCAGAACTCCAAAAACCTTTACTGGAGACTCCTTGCTCTCTAGGGAAATACTAAGATTTCAGGAAGGCTTAACCCCAAGACTAAAACCAAACCTAATATGTTTCACAGGGGTCCTCTGAGCTGCAAGTAGATAGGCTAAGAATTCATTCCAAGCTAAAGAGGTAGGCTAGATTCAAAACATCATTCCCAAGGTGACATCAGATCCTTTTCAGGAAGAGGAAGGGAGAATCATATTTATCATTACACTATATGTCAGGCTTAATTTCAGTGCGATGGATCTGTAATTTGTTTGCAAGGCTAAAATAAATTGATAGTAATCCATACTAAGCCTCTGAATCTTGATATTGTTTACTTGTAACTTTAAGTAAATAGATACTTCATTTTAGATTCCCAAAATCAATGTCATAAGTTATATTTTAATTAACTGAGGTCATAAAAGGATATTTTTAATCTCAAATATGAAAAACCCAAGTAAACAATTATAAATTGATTTGGTCCAGATTTTATGCTGAATCTAAATATTTTATATTCTAAGAGGCATTAAACTCCCCAGTGTACACATATTTAATAGAGTCATGCTCTCAGGCTGGTTAGAAAATCAGATATTAAGAAGGTCTTTAATAAGAATACAGTGTTGTTCAGTTTCTCTCATATTTCACTAGAATGTAGAGTTACACAATGTAACTGGGTGGTTAAGAGTAGAGCCTCTTAAGCTTCTAGCTCTACTACTTCTAAGTGGTGACCTTGGAAAGATTGTTTAACCTAACTGTGACTCAGTTTCCTCATCCTGTAAAATAGGGCCAGTATTAATACCTACCCCACAGAGTTGTGAAAATAAGCTAATATGCAAATACTTCATAATGTTCGTGGAAAAAATGTAATTAGAGTATGTGTTTATTTTGGTGCAAAAAATCTTAATCCATGCACAAGGGTTTTTTTCTTTTTTTTAAATAGGGATTTGTTCATTTATTTGTATGTTTTTGTTTTTGTCAGAGGGCACATATACTCACTAGAGAAAGAGCAGAGAAAGCGTCTGCCCAATGGGACAAGATCATGCTACAATCCTTTTTCCTCCATGTTTCCATCCCACTAAGATTTTTGGTGCCCACATGTACCTAGAATGTTATTCAAACTTCCAAGGCCAGAATTAGAACCACAGACAGCTATGTGAGATTTGGCTCGCAATACGTAGTACTAAACCACTCCACTACAAGGCCATTCCTAATTTTTTTTCATAACTCATATTCTCCCTGAACTTTTTGAAGACCTTTGATACAGGTTACACATTTATGTTCATTGTTATTGTTAGTAGATGCTTTTAGTAATGTATAGGCTTATAGTAGTGAGAACTGCATGTTCTTGGTTGAATTCTCCTTTTCCTTCCTGCAGGAAAATGGCAAATGCATGACAGTGGCCTCCTAAACATCACCAGGGTGTCTTTCTCAGACCGAGGCAAATACACATGTGTTGCTTCTAACATGTACGGCACTGTGAACAACACGGTGACCCTGAGGGTCATCTTTACCTCTGGAGACATGGGTGTCTACTACATGGTCGTCTGCCTCGTGGCCTTCACCATCGTCATGGTCCTCAATATCACCCGCCTGTGCATGATGAGCAGCCACCTGAAGAAGACTGAGAAAGCCATCAATGAGTTCTTTAGGACAGAAGGTGCAGAGAAGCTACAGAAGGCATTTGAGATCGCCAAGCGAATCCCCATCATCACCTCAGCCAAAACTCTAGAACTTGCCAAAGTCACCCAGTTCAAAACCATGGAGTTTGCCCGCTATATTGAAGAGCTTGCCAGGAGTGTGCCCCTGCCTCCTCTCATTATGAACTGCAGAACGATCATGGAGGAAATCATGGAGGTGGTTGGGCTGGAGGAGCAGGGGCAGAATTTTGTGAGGCACACTCCAGAGGGCCAGGAGGCTGCTGACAGGGATGAAGTGTACACAATCCCAAACTCCCTGAAGCGAAGTGACTCCCCCACAGCTGACTCGGATGCCTCATCACTACACGAACAGCCCCAGCAGATTGCCATCAAGGTATCAGTCCACCCACAGTCCAAGAAAGATCATGTGGATGACCACGAGGGCACACAATTTGAAGTCAAAGATGAAGAGGAGACAGAACCATCAGCCGAACATTCCCCAGAAACTGCAGAGCCTTCCACTGACATAACCTCCACGGAGCTGACATCAGAAGAGCCAACACCTGTGGAGGCATCAGATCGAGTGCTGCCACCAGCTCACCTGGAAACTACAGAGCCAGCAGTGACACATGACAAAAACACCTGCATTATTTATGAAAGCCATGTCTAATATCAACTCTGAAAAGCTATGCATATCAAGAAAATCAGGGGCCGCTCCTTGTAATACAGATGTAGTACGCACTTGCCGCTAAGCCTTACTAGGAGACTCTCATCCCTTAGGTAGGAGAGATGCCATTTTAAGAGGGAAACACCTGTGTGCAGTTCACGTGACTGGAATTTCCCCAGTAGAAAAGGATGTGAGAACCACCAGGGTGCAAAATTGATATCAGACAGAAGGTGTCTATCCATGTGTTATGAATTTTAGAGGCTATTCTCTGCCAAGTACCTTAATTGGTGATGCCCTTTTGGCAAAGAGTACACTACTGTAAGATATTCTGAGTTCAAGAGCCCTGTCCAATGCATACTGCATTGCTTTTCCTTTTAAAAATTATAGGTCTGCTGCAATAGCAAATGCACGTATATGAGTTTGTTGCACTTTCTTCTCAGTTTTAATTACTTTCACTGTTCCTTTATAATGGAGTAGTTGTTATTATATTAATACTAATTGCTCTTTCTGGTTAGTCCTTTTGCCACTTTTGTCCTTGTTTTTTTTCCCTGAGAACATTTACCTCAGAGGCTTTGGTATCAGTCCCCAGGACCAGGGCTAATATCTACAAGTCATTTGTAATATTCCAAAGTAGTTACTAGACTCATTTTTTTTCCCATTTCCCAGGCCTATTTTCATACATTGCTTTTTTTGTTTCCAATGAAGCTGCTGTTGTGAAACTGAGAAAACTTTGCCCCCGAATAGCACTTTATTAGTCAAATAAAAATGTGTTTACCTATCTGATTCTGAGAACCTTGTGGTGAGCTCAACTGATGTATGTAGAGATTGTAAAAGGTTAAATATTCCCACACTACCCATGAAAATGACTATGTACATTTAAGTCACATTATCCTCTAACAAAAACTGATTCTTTACCTGGAAAATTTGTTGCATCCAAAGACGAGAGCATTTGATGCATCCCTATAGGTCGTAAGAAATTGACTTTCCAAAGGGCTTCCTTGCAGGAGCCATATGGCATCAGATGACCCAAACACTTGATTTAACACGGCAAATATGGGGCTCTGTGAGGCTGTATAACCAGACTCACTTTTGTGACCTGCATAGCTGACTCGTTGGTCCCTGAAAAAGTGAGAGTGAAAGCTTAGGGTAATGGCATAGGAATTTTGTTATTCAAATTTCATGCCAAAATTATTAAATTATTATTTAGGCGCACAAGAATGTGGTTCTATGCAAAGCAGCATGACGTTATGGAAAGAAGACAAAACTAATTATGCAAAGGCTTAATGTCATACCTGACTATGCCAATAACCAGCTGTCTGACTTTGGGCAAATCTAGACCTCAATCCTTTTCTGTAAGAGGGGCAGACTAGACAGTACCATTTAAATAGTCTCTCTCAATCTCACAGAACCAAACAAATATTAACACCCTTGCCCTTTTTCACAATTAAAGAGTTTTGTTTTCATCTCTGGGTTCACCTAATGTTTTTATGCCTCATTGTTTACTCAAAGATGAGGATCAGTTTTGAAAAATCATAGCATTTAAAAAAATCTCCTTCCCCCAAAAAATAAAATCATTGGGACCACTTCTACAATTTCATTTCATCAAGAATGAGTGGTGTTATTTTATTGTAGCTTACAAACAAAGGAGATAGTAATTTTGAAGTAGTTATAAAGACCATGGCCACATCAAGTGGTGGGGTGATGGTGTAGGTGAAGTTACATGAGTCACATTGGTAATAGGAGAGCAGACCCAGAGTTTAGTCCTCACTCACCATCTGGGGAGGTGACCTTGGACAGTTCCCTTTCTCTCTGGGAATTAATCTTTCATCTGTAAAAAATATGCTCCACAAGGTTTCTTCAGGCTCAAACATCTGTAGCTTTTGGAAAGTTTGCAATCTTCCATAATAGCCCTCATTGCACAAGACAAGCAAAACTGGGAACAAAAATGGGTACAGGAGACCGGATGCTTTTGCTATCAAAACTTTTCAGTAAATGTATCTGGCTATATAACCAAGGGCAGTAGGCTTAGCTTTAAAAGAGGCCTTTATGGGTTTTTTTAATAGATAACTGGGGTAGAAGCCAATATGACAGGATATAGGGTTAAAAAGAAATCCACTGTTGGATGTAGTTAGAAGTGAGTGTCTTGGGTGGTGGTCACATAAAGAAATTAGTAATGAACAATCAAAAGAAACCATGACTCCTGCTTGGGCCCAGACTAGGATTTTAGATATTTGGTTGCAGAAAAGTTTTGTCTTCAGCTCTTAGAATATGAAAATCTTCCAGTCGTCATGGAGGGCAACAAATTCTTACCATGAATTTATACATGCAGAACAACAACAGGAACTTAAGCTTATTTTGTAATGTTTTGTGAACTCTTCCCCATTCTATTCAGTTCTCATTCCACCTAAACCTGTTTGCAGATTTCCACATGGAAATTGCAGAAGGGGGTATCCATTCCATCTAGACACTGACTAGGAATAGTAATCTAAAATTGGACTTTTTTTTTTTTTTTTTAATGAAGCAAGAGCAGAAATGTGTGACCAAAGGATGTTTCCAGATTGGTTTTCTCATCTTTAGACCACAGTAGTTGGAGATTATGTAGATTTTCAAAACTTTCTCCCTCTTCAAAGCATCAAAATGTTCTTAATTTCGTATAGTTAACCTAAAGGGAGGTTGGTTTGCAATGGGAATTTCTCCTTCCAGACTTTCTATACTCTTTGTATCCATCTTATACCTTCTTTATGAAATGAGAGTCCCACCTTCTATAATATAAAATGTAGAAGACCTCATGACTTTCAGCTGATTCCATGCAGTGTCACAGAAATTCATACGGGTGTGGGCTAAATGTATGTGTATACACACTTGCACACATTGAATTCATTTGTGTGGTTTTAAAAGCTTAGAATGAAACCCCAAATCCTTGCATCTTATGTAGTCATTCTTAAAATCAAACAGTTTCTGGTTCTGAATCATCCTTGTCATATCTCTAGCAATTTTTTTCTTGAAATTCTGAAAATGATTCATATATGTGTGCATATTTCATTCACATAGATGATCTGTAAACTTGGATGGTATTTATTCTAAATGGGGGAAAACAGAATTTTATATGGAAAATCTAATTTATAATGGTTTTGTTTTATATAGTCGTCATGGAGGGCAACAAATTCTTACCATGAATTTATACATGCAGAACAACAACAGGAACTTAAGCTTATTTTGTAATGTTTTGTGAACTCTTCCCCATTCTATTCAGTTCTCATTCCACCTAAACCTGTTTGCAGATTTCCACATGGAAATTGCAGAAGGGGGTATCCATTCCATCTAGACACTGACTAGGAATAGTAATCTAAAATTGGACTTTTTTTTTTTTTTTTTAATGAAGCAAGAGCAGAAATGTGTGACCAAAGGATGTTTCCAGATTGGTTTTCTCATCTTTAGACCACAGTAGTTGGAGATTATGTAGATTTTCAAAACTTTCTCCCTCTTCAAAGCATCAAAATGTTCTTAATTTCGTATAGTTAACCTAAAGGGAGGTTGGTTTGCAATGGGAATTTCTCCTTCCAGACTTTCTATACTCTTTGTATCCATCTTATACCTTCTTTATGAAATGAGAGTCCCACCTTCTATAATATAAAATGTAGAAGACCTCATGACTTTCAGCTGATTCCATGCAGTGTCACAGAAATTCATACGGGTGTGGGCTAAATGTATGTGTATACACACTTGCACACATTGAATTCATTTGTGTGGTTTTAAAAGCTTAGAATGAAACCCCAAATCCTTGCATCTTATGTAGTCATTCTTAAAATCAAACAGTTTCTGGTTCTGAATCATCCTTGTCATATCTCTAGCAATTTTTTTCTTGAAATTCTGAAAATGATTCATATATGTGTGCATATTTCATTCACATAGATGATCTGTAAACTTGGATGGTATTTATTCTAAATGGGGGAAAACAGAATTTTATATGGAAAATCTAATTTATAATGGTTTTGTTTTATATATTATATTTTCATATCTTCAGGGCACATCTACTATTCTCATCTTTTTGTATATCATACTGGGCAAAAAGAAATACTAATACTTGACTAAAATCTCTAGGAACCAAATGTGATATATAATACATAGAAATTACTCTAAAAATATCTGAATGTCTCACCCATCCTAAGCATTACTGTACCATGTCATTATATCCAGAATGATTTGTCTCGGGTGCTTATGGGCATTCCTTTTTCACAACTAAGGCTAAAAGGCCTGACATTCCATACAATGGATTCTGGAATCCCTTTTTCTTCTATCTCTTTTTTATTGCTCACTTCATTTTTAATTGCACAGTTCATGTGGTTTAAGCTTCCTTTTAAGGGCAAATGTGAGAACATAAGAAAGCAGCTTGATAGAAAGACTGAATGAATTTAACTATGGCTATGTAAATTACTTTAATGGACTGATAACATGTTTTAAATGTAATGCTTGGATTGTTATTTACTGGTGATCTAGGATTTATCTGCTCAGCTCTGTAGCACATGAAGAAAAATGTAAGGTACAGAGAATATTTGCATGTTTTGAACAGGCACTCTCTAAATACAGTGCTGTCAACACAAATCAACTTGACTACAGAAACACCAATCCCAGCAACTGCAAGAAATATTTTAGGAAAGCAAATTAATCACACTTTACTACACCATTTCAAATACAGTGTTGTATCAGTGCTAAAAACTCTTAAATGGGGTCTCTATGGTTTTGTTAATGGGATTTTCTTTCAGTATTTCATTTGGTAAGAAAGTGGGGCATTTATCTTACATTTTAGATACTCTATTTTCTCAACACAGTTCAACTATTGTCCTTTATCTATTAGTATGTCCCTCTGGCAGTCCGATAAGTGATTTGTTTCTGTTCTTGCTTTTTAAACTAAGTTGTTAGTACTCTAAATATATTCCAAATCTTACTGTATATTCACAGACAGATTTTGAGCCCCTGTTATCTTCAAGATCCTAGTCATTTTTACATTTACATATTCATTAAGAAAACCTTCAGTAGATAACAGAATTCATTTTCCTAATGACTTTTTTAGCGTTTGTTACGTAATTAACTAGGCTTGGCTTAAACAAATCAGTTGTGGGTGGGGATAAAACAAATCAAACAATTATTTATTATATTTTCCATGGGATTGAGTGTTTAACTGTTTTACAAGAAAATATCATAAGGATGATAATGATCTTTGAGGTTTTTTAGAAATTTAATTCATGAAGAGGCTATTACTAAGAATACTACAATCAAAACTGAAGCTAGAGAAGGTAAAAATAGAAAGCAAATAGTTCTAAGAATATTCTGGCATAAATTATTTTTATTTAACCAATAATAATAGCTTCCAAGTATATTGCTTAGACACCATAGGACTGCTAAGAGTAAGTGAGAGTGGAAGAAAATGCTTGCACTTATGTTTGGTTTGCTGTATTTCAATAGTTCTGGAGGTCCTTTGTTAAAACTGGAAAAAAGAATGAAACATTTATCTGGGAAGAAATGTCAATCTGATCATTTTTTTGAACTACAACATGTTCACTTTTTAAAAATAAAAAGTTGTAAACAGATGGCTGACATACAAATTGATATTACAGTAGCAAAAACAAAACAAAAAAATGTGATCCATCCTGTATTTTGATTGTTGCTCTAATAAAGGGTTTGCACAGGTATGAGGAATGTGTGTTGTTTCTCACCTGAAAGGTGTGGCCTAATTTATTTTTTCCAGTGATATGAAACCTATTGTCAGTTTCTACCCGCACCTTTTACATCTGCAGCATTTCTTAGGAAAAAAAAGAAATAATTTTTATGTAAAATTACATTTTACCTAAATTCAGAAGCCTTAATTATTTCTAAAAAGTTTTGTAGCTTAGGGACCAGCAGTTAGCGTAATAGCTATGTTACTGGACTCCCATGTAGTCAACCACGGTTCGCATCCTGGACCCGGTGGCTTAAACTCACGCCGGGCAAGTGTGCATCCATGCAAAAGATCCTGAGAGGAGAGTGGAGGAGAAGGGATTTCAGCATGGCCACCACCCCTGGGGGGTGATTTCTTGCTTTCTGTCTCTCTGTCTCTCTCTGTCTGGCGAGCGCAAGCACCCTATAGCAAAAACCTCTAAAACAAAAACAACAAAACAAAAAAAAAGTTTTGTAGCTTATTTTTATCTGTATCAAGAAACAGCTTCTAGGGAACCAACAGTTAGCGTAATGGCTATGTCACTGGACTCCCACGTAGTCGACCGCAGTTCACATTCCGGACCTGGTGGCTTAAAACTCACGCCGGGCGTGTGTGCGTGCGTGCCCAAGATCCTGAGAGGAGAATGGAGGAGAAGGGATTACGGCGTGACCATCCCCCCTGGGGGTTGATTTCTCGCTTTCTGTCTCTATGTCTCTCTCTGTCTGGCGAGCACACGCGCCCTATAGCAAAAATCTCTCCAAAAAGAAAGAAAGAAAGAAAGAAAGAAACAGCTTCTAGCGTGTACCATTAGGCTCATTGTAGAGAATCCAAGAATACTAGGAAACTCATATACCAGAACATTCCATGGGGAGAAGGCATCAGTAGCAAAATTGTCACACAACACCTAGCTAGACTACATTAAATCCCAGCTTAATTCAAGAATATGTTAAGTGATTCCTTTAATAATCAGTAAACTCTGAAAGCTAAATTCCTCTTAGACAAGATGAACTATGAGATATGTAAGCGAACCACAAGGAAGAGAGAGAGAGACTACCAAATAGGAAAATAAAAAGGACAGAAGGTAAGTATTTTTACTATATGGTAAAACAAACAGGAAAATAGAATAGCTGAGTTATATAGCCAATAAACTATGCACCTAGCTAAACACAAATACTCTTAAATAAAAAGGGTTTAGAAGAAGTATGCTGGCATTAGTAGAAAAATTAACCATTGTATAATCACAAAAGAGGAAACAGGAAATTTTTGTTGTAATTGGCAAATTTTGGCTGCTCACTATCTTCAACATCCAGAGCAAACCTGTTAAAAATTTTTTGGCAGGCTTAGGACTGTCATGTTTGCATGGGTCTTATTTAAAGGGGATAAGTAAGGCTTAAGAAGCATATGGTCAGGGCCAGCAGATGGCTTGGTGGTTAAAGGCACTGGACTCCCATTTGGCTGACTATAGTTCAAGTCCCAAACCTGGCAGCTTTCTCTCTCTGTTTTGTCCCTCCCCTCCACCCCCTGTGGTCAAATGAAAAACAAATATCAAGATGCCAGCATCAGGCCAGGGCCTTCTTGCTGTGTCATCCCATGGTGGAATGTGAGAAGGGCAACAATAAGA